TATATATATATATATATCTATGATGAAAACCCACATTGAAACCGATTACAAGTGACGTATTATTATTTCGTGTTCTACCCTTCTACCCATGAAGTAAGTACTTCATGGACGTTCGCGTGTGTATATAATTTCAATATGGCATCCAGCCCCCACTCTTGTCACGTGACCTATTTTAGTTCACTCTTCCGGGGGCACAGTCCCAGGCGGCGCTGAATGTCCCCTCCTGGTCATTCAGTTCGGAGCGGTTCAGAGCATCCGCCATCTTTTCTTTGTCATTCGCTTATAGACTTTCGGTGATTTCGATCGCGGATTGCAATTTTCGGGGTGATCTTGTTCCTGTACAATCTGTCAACGAAGATCCCGCGATTCTATCACGAGGACCGAGGACGTGACGTTCGAGAAGAAAAGATGAGTTACGGTAGGCCGCCGCCCCGCATCGACGGGATGGTTTCCCTAAAAGTCGACAATCTCACGTATAGAACGACGCCGGAAGACTTGAGGCGCGTGTTCGAGCGATGCGGCGAAGTCGGCGATATTTACATCCCCCGGGATCGCTTCACGCGCGAGAGCCGCGGCTTTGCGTTCGTCAGGTGAGTCCCGATCAACGCCGTGGATACATGCACAAGATACGTCCGCTGTGATGACGGAACGTTTTAATTGATCGTTTCTTATGCCTTATGGGCGATCGGACATTCGGACGGCATCAACGCCAACGATGATGCTGACGTCACGACTGGCGAGCGCGCCAGTTCGCAGTTTCAGCATTTCCACACGCCAAACTCGAACGCTTGGGTATTATAATGCTATTATAATACCCAATACGTATTTTCTGCCGCGATACATTTTCAAACGCGTGTAGTATGAAATAATGGTGAATCTCTTTCGTACAAGAACGATGTCAGCCAATCCCTTTTGCGAAGCTCGCATATTTTATATATATTTCGCAAGCATGGAAAGTTTGGGAGTCGATACGAAAAAATTCATTGCTCTTTATTTTTATATAATTTATATAATCCGATCTGTAAATTAATTGTCGATGCTTTACTGCTCGTAAAATGCAAAATATTTGTTACTTGAAAATGTGTGAAGTTTTAAGAAATTTTTTATTCATCTTGAGCATTAATGAAGCATATGTAACCGAGAATTGGTGTTTGAGCCTGCAATATTCTATGTATGCTATACCTACTTTAAATTGTATGATACTTTAAGTTGAGAAAAACAGGCTTAACTTTTTTAATTGATACATAATAACATGACTGCAATAACAGATTTTGTTCGTAAATTATATTTCTTAAGATACATAAAATAAATTGTTTTATAAATAAATACATAAATAATAAAAATGAATTTGTAATACAATACAATTGTATAAGCAATTTGAAGGAAAAATGATAATTTTTTAAACAGATTTTGTTCCTTAATTATATTTCTTAAGATAGGTATATAAAACATAAATTAAAAAATCTTATGTTGTATAAAATTATTTTTATATATGAATTTATTGCCATTATGTTTAAGCAAAATTATTGAGACTATATTGTATTAAAAAAAAGCATATTTCATTTATACTTCAAAATATACAAAATGTAAGTTTTAATAAATTTGTGAACTGGTTACACTCGTAATAAAAATTTACTAAGTTTCTCTGCTGTAAATTCATACGATTCATTCGGGAGTCAAACGTTCATACACAATAAGATACGTTAACATCAAAGTTTGCATTAACTATTATTCTAATTTTTTCCTTGTATCTATGCAGTAAGTGTTGTAACTTTGACAAAAAGTAAATAGTTTTCAATATGATTGTTCTTGTCCTTAATTTGTCACTGAATCTAAGTTATATTAAAGAATCTCTCGACATTTGCAAAGTTGTTTTTTCTATTGAACGTAGCCAATAAATCGAGTATTTTATATTTATTTCTTGGCAGATTTTATGATAAGCGCGATGCTGAAGATGCATTAGATGCCATGGATGGAAGGTTGTTGGACGGCAGGGAACTCCGAGTCCAAATGGCACGCTATGGACGTCCAACGTCTCCGCATCGTAGCCGTGGAAGTCGTCGTCGTGGAAGGTAGGTTTTCATTGTTTTTATTTTACAGTGTACGTACAATTGATAGAATGAGAGAGAGAGAGAATAATTGATTGGTTTATCAGTGTTTCAAATATTTTATAAGAGAATTTTAATTATTTGTACATACAGATCACGCAGTAGAAGTAGAGACCGCAGGCGTTCGCGATCTCGATCTCGTAGTAGGTCGCGCAGCCGCGACCGAGATCGCAGGCGCTCCTACAGCCGTAGCCGTAGTCGCTCCCGTTCGGACAGCAAGAGCTCGCGCGGCAAATCACGCTCGCGTAGCAAGTCTCAGGACAGGCAAAAAGACAGTCGCTCTAAATCAAGGTGAGAATTATCTCAGTTAATTTCAAGATGATAGAAACCAATCGTGTCCTCACCGGTGTTAAATTGTTGAATTTATCTCTTTCTCATGATTGACCAGTCGTCATCAATTGTGTTTTCAGGGACTGAGCTGATTGAAGAGTGTGCGAGAGGATAAGAATGAGTGCGCGCGTATCCAACGAGTGCCGAATAATCTATGTTGAGATTGAAAAAGAAAAAAGGTATTTCATTACCCTCTATAGCAACACTCGCACGCTTCTTCACGTTCTTCTATCATTTAAATACATACATGTGTTAAACAGATATATATATACTTGAATCGATATTACGTATTTCATCAATTTGAATACGTGATTAGTTTCTCTATAACATGAATATTCCTTTTTTTCTTCTGTGCTTCTTTATTCGCGCTAGTTTCGTTGTGACAACAGTTATCACCGCTCCTGTTTCCCGAAATCAAATGATAAGTAAAATCAATAGATTTCTGCTCCGCGTGACAATCTAACTTTGGATTGTTCTTCATATTTCAATAAGGAATTCTAGTTGATAAATTTTATGGTATAAGACTTATGTATTACGTTTCATAAAATTATGAACCTACATGTATTCATTCGCAATATTTTTTCATCGGCGGAGATTAATATTACAAGTTGAAAGCAAAGAGATCTTTACTAGTATCTATTCCTTACCAGTACATTATAATGTTACGCTGGTAAAACTTAGTACACACTTTCAAACAATATTGGCAAACATTGTTTGCGGATAAAATTTAATTGAAGATTTTAAACGTATTGCAAATAACGAGCATATTATATAACTGAGTTTTTTTAAAGTAAAACTCAAAACTCAGGAAATGAGTGTAAAATGAATGTATTATGTAAATGTAAACTGCTAATATCAGATGAAATTAATATTTTATATTTTCACTAATGTAATATCAATAAGATTGTACGCTCTAAAATTTTCACTTTATTTGACATTAATTAGACAGCCAATTAATATTCCACAAAATTAATTATGCCATTAATCTAATGTTGATTGCCATTTTTTTAAATGTTATTTAACGATTTTGACTGTAATGTCAATAAACTTGTTATTATGTTGACATTAATTAACCAATTAATATTTAGTAAAATTAATTTAATTATTAATCTAATGTTTCCATTTTTTGATATTATTTAGACAAACAATTGATTTCAAATGTGATGCAAAAGTGTTTGTGTATTATAATTTGTTTTAAACTTTCGTAAAAAAAACATTGATGCAACGAGAATACAATAGTGAATAATATAATTTCTATATAAGATAAAATACAAATAAAATTCCTTGAAAGCTTAAATTTTATATTGTAATCATTTTATCAAAAAAAGAATTGAAAATATTTTGATAATTCTCTTAATGTTTATAACTCACAAATAATGTTTGTCAACAATGTCTTTAGGTGTGCGTACTAGGCTCAAGGGAAATTTTTTTTAATAACTGAGAAATGAATTCAAAGTTTTAGGTTTGTTTTCACGCACAACAATACATTTCTAGAAATAAGTTTTGCGTTGATAGGTAATCGTTCATGTAAGTTTGCACATCGTAGATTCATTTGTAATAAAGCGCAGTGAATTGCTGAGAAGACAAAACTGTGTCTACGTATTCTTGTTTTTCCTTTGTGGATTTTAATGAAATAAACGACTTGATCCATCTAGGTTATTTATCAAAATAATTTTTTGATTAAAATGTAACTATTAAAAACTAAATGTATCGTACAGTAGATTTTACCAGAATACAGATCTTTTCCAGGCACTATTAAAATAGCTTATCATTGCTTATTCAGCTTATTACTAACAAGGAAGACAATCACAAACGTCTTATCAGTCTTGTGCAATGGCATTAGTTACAAAATATTTTTAGGTAAAACAAAAAGTAATAAAACTTTTGTACCAGGCATAATTTACTAAGTCGGTATAACGGAAAGAAATAAATTTTTCTTTTAGTATGTATAATTTAATATACATATACATCCGCAGTGTATAAGCAAGAGATAATTTAAGATTATAAAAATGTCCAACATTTTTTTTTAAATATATGTTTCTGAGTTTATATTACACACATGTACACGTTTACATACATGCATATACAAAATACTACTATATATATATATATATATATATATATACATATGTATACATATAATGACATTATTTTATATTAGATACATTTATATATTAAATATATAATATTTATACATAAAATAAATATATAGACACATACGTGTGTATGCGCGCGCGCATATAAAATCGAATATACATGTACAATATATACATATATTCATTTATTTTATACATAAAAGTATCTAATATAAGATAATGTTATGTATACATATACACATATACATACACATATATACATACACACATAGGTCAGAGTAATCCATTAATTTTCTTAAGAATGATTCAAAATAAAAAATGATGATATAGCAGAAATCTATAGTTGCAATAGTATTATTTTTTATAAAATCTTTTCTTTGTTGATACAATTATACATAAAAAAAATTCCATATACATGTATATACATACACATATATATATTTTTTCTTTACATATTAAAAATTAAGAGATTTTATTTATATAAAACTCTTAACATTTAACTATTTTCCATACAGCAAGTACACGCACATGCATACACATACATACACATGTATACACTATTAATGTAAGAACAAAAATCTATTTGCTGGCAATTGGCCGGTTCTTGGAATTGTCGCATCTTTTGGAAATCTAGGAGGCACGAAGCTTGTGTAGATCCTTGGATTCAGAAATGGTTTGCTGCGAGGTATTGAATTAGTCTCTCGCGAAGAATTTAACCACGCGTATTTTATGTAACTGTTACAATCAAAATGCATCTATTTTACATTGTATAGCTATACATTTCAAGAAATAGTAGTGTACACATCTAATATTTATACACAAAAATAATTCGCATATATTTGAGCATTAATCGCGTGAAATACAAATCTGGCGTAAAGATCATATCACATGTATATACGCAAAATGTTTATATTCTATAGATTTAATTTTTTGTGTGAACATATTTCATGTTACAATACGTAAAGCTAATTTTGTAAATTGTTTATTATGGTGCAAGTTACTTTTAAAGATATGTTATCAATTTGTTTTGATTGTAACATGTTCTTTTCGTTCCTATCGATCTATTCGCACTTGTATCCCTACAGCCCCATAAAAAAAAAGTAGAGAAAACTATTCTCACACGGATTCGACATCCATATTCTCTGATAACTAAGTTGTGATTTTATGGTGCCACAGGCGGTGGAAAGGAGTGGCGTGGCGCGGGTGTAGCCGATGATGGGGTAGCTGAGAGTAAGCAGTAAGCCGAGTAGCAGGGGGCTGTAAGCAGTTTGCAGTAGCGAGAGAGAGCGGTGTTGGTGGTGCGGTGCGATGCGGTGCGATGCGGTGCGATGCGGTGCGGTGCGGTGCGATGCGGTCCATTCCGATGCGATGGTCTGGTGATCCGGTGGTTCGTTCAAGGCGGGTTTACAAAAGATCAGGGCGAAAGAGACAGGGAGAGATAGAGAGTGATATCGAGCGGGAGAGGTAGAAAGAGGGAATAGAGATGCCAGTTCAGCTGCAAGTTAAGAAGCATCGCGGGTCTACTACCGACTTCCTCGGGCGTCGTCAGGGGTGCAGTGTTCGGGTTCTAGCATCGCGCGACAGACCATCACCAGACCTCGCGAACAGAGAGACGACTGATTCATAGAACGTCGTATTCATCGATCGATCATCGATAAACGGAGTCACGTGTTCACGGTAAACTATAGTAGATCACAATGCACACATTGTGTGCGAAGTACGGCAGCTCTAAAATGAATTAGAATTAGGAAAGAATATTTTATATCAGTTTACTCTAATGTCATTTAAGGGATTACACCACCTCTGAAGTTTTAAAAGGGTACCTTCAAAGTTTTGATTTTTTTGTGGGTAAATGGATAACTTTATTTAAAATCTGCTTAGAGAACATTATTGTACATATATAAGAAACCAAAAAAATATTTTATTTTTATTATGTCCAAAATGGCGGCACACTAGTCTACACTTGCGGAATCCCTTTTTTTCTATCGGTGTATAGGATTCCAGGCACACGGTTTGACCTTGAACAAAA